CTCGAACCGGACATTCCATCTTCGTTTTTAGATTCCATTTCGTTTGAAGGTTCTTCAATTGGCGTTCGTGGTTCTGTTGTTTGCTCCAAACCGGTTGTCTGCATGTGTGTGAGGAGAAAGGATCGCAGTTCTAGGTCTGTTAGTGGCATTTTTTTGTCCATGAGCTTTGGGAACGATGGATTTGTTCAGGAACCGAAAGAGGATTTGGTGCAAAATGGAGAGAGGGGCTCGGCAGAAGTGGAAGATGGTAATACTATTGTTAAAATCAAGAAACTGAGGGCCAGTTACGGGAGAGTAACAGCAGCGAACACCACCAAACATCTATGGGCTGGAGCTGTTGCAGCTATTGTTTCAAGGTACGCCTTCATAAGCCTAGTTTGTTATGCAAAAAAAAAAAAAAAGGAAAACTATATCAAGTAGTTCATTTATTTTTTAAAACAAGTGAAATTTGAAAATGTTCCAGATATTTTGATCCATTTTCTGTTTCTGTACCCATTTTGCCCGGCAGTGTGGTTCTGTATTAATGATTGTTATTGTATCAGAACTTTTGTTGCGCCTCTTGAGAGACTAAAACTGGAATATATAGTTCGTGGTGAGCAGAAGAAGTTGGTTGAGTTGATTAAGTCAATTGCAGCTACTCAAGGCTTGAAAGGCTTTTGGAAGGGGAACCTAGTCAACATTCTTCGTACGGCTCCATTTAAAGCAGTCAATTTCTGTGCTTATGATACTTATAGAAAGCAGCTGCTTCGACTGACTGGGAATGAAGAAACTACAAATTTTGAGAGGTTTATTGCCGGAGCTGCAGCTGGAATTACTGCAACTATACTCTGCTTACCACTTGACACAGTATGTGGAAATTCAATATTATTCTATTATTACCTGCATACTGACTGGTTATGGATTAATTATGGATTATGATTTGTCATCTTGACACGTTGGACAAGTGGGCGACTGTTGCTAAATTGTGTAAAGATATCCTAGTTAGTAGATTTTTGGTCCAAAAACAAATTTCTTTTATGCTTTCTCATCTTAATTGCTGGAGTCATTACATGTCTAATTTGGGATGTTGACGAAGCGTCAGAAGCTAAATTGCTAGACTATGGCTTAAACACTTGTCTAATTGCCACCAAGCCAAGTGGGAGAGAGAGGACAAATTTTCTGTAATCTGAGCTTCCCTAGTTTCATATGGGAAATAAAATATTTCCCCCAAATTTGGAGCTTTGCGACTGATAAAAAATATTTGAATATAAACAATAGATTAGTATTTTCTATCAGTTTAAATTTTTAAGAAAATAAGTTTCGATTACTTTACATAGTATTAGAGTAAGGGATCTAGTACTAGAACATGGCTGTTCCAGTTGTGTTTAGGCTAAATTTTTAGCATAAGGAATTAGGAGTTGTACTTGATCCATATATCTATCTTGACGCGCTTTCATGAGAAAACATAATTAGAACATAATTTATAGATCGAGCATGTACTATCAAGTTAAGCTTTAGAAAATCCATTCAACTTTATTTTTTTGCAGAAGGTAGAGGGTAACGTCACTGGAAGCCTCTTTTTCTAAGCATGAATGATTTTGAACAGGATTGGATGTAATGCTTAATATTAGCATATATTGCTGATATAAGACATCATTCATCCCCAAAAAAAGGAAACTAGCTTCCTTTCCTTTTTATAATTATTTTATCAATTATAAGTTGTCTCCAGGATCTCATTTTTCCATTGTTTAATCTACTATTGCCTAACCTTTTGTGTACAACAGATCCGGACCAAAATAGTGGCTCCTGGTGGTGAAGCCTTAGGCGGTGTTATTGGGGCTTTCCGCCACATGATCCAAACTGAAGGGTTCTTTTCCCTTTACAAGGGCTTAGTGCCCTCTCTTGCAAGCATGGCACCTTCAGGAGCTGTTTTTTACAGTGTATATGATATACTGAAATCAGCTTATCTACATTCACCAGAAGGCAGAAAAAGAATTCAGAACATGAATCAGCAAGGACAACAATTGAATGTTTTGGATCAGCTTGAGTTGGGTCCAGTTAGGACGCTGTTATATGGGGCGATTGCTGGTGCTTGTGCTGAAGCTGCCACTTATCCGTTTGAAGTAGTAAGGAGACAGCTTCAGTTGCAAGTCCAGGCGACCAAATTGAGTGCATTTGCAACATGTGTGAAGATCATTGAACAAGGAGGAATTCCAGCACTCTATGCTGGACTTATTCCCAGCTTACTGCAGGTATGGGGACAAGTATAAAGATTTATGACAGAAAAAAGTTATATACAGACACACACATATTCACACAAGGCATGCACTCAAGAATCTTTTTGGAAGCCTACACTAGTTAAGCAATGATGAAAAAATTGACAGGAAATTTGGAATCTCTTATAAAATTTGCAAAATTATGCTTCATTCTCCATATTGAGATCTTTAGGGAATCTGTCTGTGGGAATGCTCTGAATATAATAATTTGCAAATTCTAAGATAATTTGGGATCTAAAGTTTCCTGCTTGTTTTTCTCTACTGTTACATTCAGAAAAATGGAAAATAGAGTCACATAAAAGTGCTGCATGCTTCTAGCTGTTCAATGTTTGTGCTTCAATTGAATGGTTCTCCAAATTGAAAAGTTGTGCAAGTCCTTAAGCATAACAGCCCAAGTGATGTGGAAAGTTCTGGATCTGTGAACCTCGTGAGGTCATTACTATATATACATGATTTTGTTGTCTTAGATCTAAATGGTGGTTTTTCCGTTAATTGTAATAATTTTTTTGTCTTCTACATCCCCGTTCCTGTAGAATCCTATGGGCAAAGAATTTTGAGGGGAAGGGAGGGAGGAGAGTAATAGTTATTTGGTCTTAAGAGCAAAATATTAGTCTAGATAAGATAGATTATTATGCAACTTGTTCATTCCCATTCAATGTCTAATTCTAATTTTTCATATTAAGTTTAACATATTTAACATACATAATTAGATATCAGTCCCGTCCTAAATTCTTTTATAGTGTTATAGAAAGTTATGGTATCATAAAAGAGAACCCAACACTTTCTTTGATGAAAAAAAGTACTTAAAACACTTTTCAAATTTGTTATCTGCCTAACTTTGCTCTCTTTGAAGACATCTATTTATTGTATTATATTAGAATAATAACAATTCTTTTAAGACCAGAACTACTTATCTATTTTAACCATCAAGATAGAATCAAACATATAATTGCCTTCTAAACTGATCAAACTGCTTAACTGATTCTAACTGGTTTCAGAATACATGTGGCAGCAACTATAGACCAATAACAACAAAGACAACTCACCACGAAATAGACATAACATGCCATAAAATATCTCGGGTACCTAGTATTAGTTACAGAGAGAGGTTTTCTCTTCTTTTTCCTTTAATAAACTTTGGCAAACAGCAATATACTACCTGCAGTCATATGCTTTAATAGGGTCCCCAATATATTCAAAAGAGTTTATGATCCTTAATCAAAAAACACAGTCTGGAACTAGCTATCCTCAACCCGATAAAAACCTTCTTCCTTACCCCCAAAAGCTCTCCTATTCCATTCCTTCTATACCACCCAAAAGGTGGTGAGGGGATAAGGCTAATGCTTTTTTTTCACATCACTAATTCCTCTCCACGTTCAAATTCCCTCCCTCACCGAGCCTGCCATCACCTAATTAATACCCAAGATGCCATAAGCAAGAGATCAGAGCTTGTAAGCAAAGAGACACCAAAATAGAATATTGTTGCATGACTCTGCGACTCTTTTTCACAAGTAACAACCATTCACCAAGATCATTCTCCTCGTGATCAGCTTGTCCAGAGTTAAAATGCACCCTTTAATTGCCTCCTATGCAAAAAGGCAATTTGGCATGAAATATCAATCTTCCAAATTTGCTTGGAAGGAAAGTCTTTAACCGTGATCTCCCTTCTTATTAGGTGATTATAGAAGGATCTAAGGGAGAAAATCCCCTTAGTGTTGAGTCTTCAAAGGGCTCGGTCTTTTGTTCCATCATGCTTAGCTCTTGTAAGGTGTTATGAACCCGATACATGATTTGGATCTGAAAGAAAGAGGAAGAAAGATAGAGAAAGCTGAGAAAGAGAGAGAGAAAGGAAAAAAGTTGAGAGTCAGCAAGATTTGAGAGAGAATTATATTCTGAGTTTAGTAATTTTTCAGTGATTTTTTCCCTTAGGTACATGCCTATATATAGGCTATAAAAGTAGGAGGTTGTAAGCGCTTGAACGGCAGAATGATCGTGATCTTTCTCTCATTTTTTTGTTTTTCTGTTTCTCTATTCGTCTATCTTTAACATTAATTTCTTACTATTAAAAAAAAAACAAAACTACCATTGTCCAAACTTTACCCTTTTTACCTTACATATTATTTACCTATTTCCTCCTTTAACCTTGGTTCTTTACAATACCTGCCCCTTGAATATCAACCTTGTTCTAAAGGTTGAAATCCAGTTTTCAAATATCTTGTGCCAAACACCTAGTTAACCTCTCATATATATTTGGTTCTTTTTTTTTGTATTTTTTTGTTTTTGTTTTTCTTTTTTCTGTTTTATTTTTATTTTTGATTTTGTTTTCCTTTTTGTTTTTGTTTTCTTTGTATATATATGTTCATTTTACAGAACAGTTTTCTACTGCTTCCACATTCATTCACTCTCTTGCACTCTCACCCATAGGAAACTCCCCATGGTTGCCAAAAATCAGATCTTCTCACTTAAAAGGAAAGTCCCCATGGCTGCCGAAAATCAGGCCCAAATCAGCATAATGGGCAGTGCAGAAATAGCATTAAGGGTCTTGCACGTTATCACCTTGACGCATAACACCAAGGTCGCAGCCTTTGCTAGCCACTCTAGTCGCTCCGTCTCTCGCTGTCACGATGATGTCTTCTCATATCTAGATCCATTTTCACCAATCAACTCTTCTCTGATTTTCTTTTCATCTTCTTTAATGATTTCTCCCTCTTCATATTCCTCTTCATCTTTTTCTTCCGCTTCTTCTTCTTCTTCAATAGTGGTGTCTGAATTGATTAGGTTCAGTGAGCCAATTCGGTTCAAACCGGGCTGGGTCTGACCCCATGTTTTTCAATCAGTTTAGCCATTGAAGCGGTTTTAGAGTTTTCTTCCTTAACAGCCAGTTCATCTCTTTTTTTTTCATGTTCCACAGAGGTGAAGAGGAAGTGATTCCTCTTTGCCCAACAGCTTCCCATGCGACTGAAACTTTGGATTTTGGTATGTATCCGAGGAGAACTCTGCCATTGAATCACGTCCACCAACAGAACCAGTTTTCGCAGGATCTCGTAATTTTCCCTTCGAACTTTGGCCATCGTCTAGTCCAGTGCAGAGGGTTTAATGATCATTATTTTTGCAGAATCCACCGCCGCCGCCTTCTATTTGAATATGGAACAGCTCTGATACCACTTTATTAGAAGTTTTAAAAAGATACACATCAAGAAATAGAAATGAGAGAGATAATTAGAGCAATGGAGAGAAGATAATGAGGCCGAGAATAGGGAGAATGATGATTGAAAAATTCTTATATTCTCTCCCAACACTTGCAATTTTTCCATCTTGTTCACCATTCTTTTTCCCTTGTTTTTCGCTATCGTTGCCTGATTAGTAAGTGTTTCATTGGATACAGTTGGATTCAAGGAAAGAAATTATCAAAAAAATTATTGAAATCAAAATATAATTTTTTCCCAAATCTCATGAACTCTCGGCTTTCTTTCTTTTCTTCCTCTTTCTTTCAAATCCAAACCATGTTTTTGTCTTGTTCACCACTCCTTTTCCCCTTGTTTTTCGCCATCACCGCCAGATTGGCAAGTGTTTCATCGGATTCTGTCGGTTTTGATACCTTTCTAGCCTATATATAGGCATGCACGCAAGAAAAGAAATTATCAAAAAAATCACTGAAATTAAAATATAGTTTTCTCTCAAATTTCAGTGACTCTCGGCTTTCTTTATCTTTTTTTCTCTTTCTTTCAAATTCGAACTATATATCAGGTTCCTAACATAAGGGTAAAGAGTAAGGTTTCATATTCCCTAACTTCCAATCATTAACGTTTCTAGTATTTCCACAAAAGATTCCCTATTTTCCATATTGCCAATGTGTTATTGTACTGAGAAATAGCATACATTTGAGGAAACTGGGTTCCGAGAGTATCACGTTCTAGCCACATGTCACGTCATAAACTGACCCCGTCATCAGTGCTAAGCCTCCATCTAATGCAGTCTTGGAACTTTGGAACTTCTTTTTGCCCATGCAAATTTTCTTATAAAAACCATTACCATGGGGTCTAGACGCCTCTTTATTGAATCACCCTCTATCATCAGTACCAAACTTCGCCTCAATCACCCTTCATCAAAAACTGTCATTTTCATTCATAAACCTCTAAAGCCATTTTTCCTATTGGCCCCTATTAACCTCCACCAAAGATTTCAGGCCTAGCCCACCAAGTTGAATTGGATTTTTGACCTTGTCACCGGCCACAAGGTGGTACCACCTATTCCCCTCAGAGTCTCCCCATGAATATATGCATTGTCTGGACTCTAGTCTCTTAGCCATACTTTCAGGAATGTCATCAGGGATATGATAGATAGGAATATTAAATATCATACTTCTGATGAGAGTAAGTCTTCCCCCTTTCTATAGAAGGTTCCACTTCCACCTAGCCAACATCTGTCAAAATGTATAATCACTAGATCCCAAGTAGGGACTTCCTTATATTTGGCTCCCAGCAGTAACCCCAAATATTTGATTGGTAAAGCCACAAATTTACACCCAAGAACACTAGCCAAAATGTTTGCATATGTCCCATTCCCTAGTCTCACCAACTCCAATTTGGCAAGATTGTAGTCGAGTCCAGAAACTGCTCAGAAGCTTCACAAAATACGTCTGATGCTAAGTAAAGCCCTTTTGCTTGGTTCATGGAAAGCTAGTGTGTCATCAGCAAATAATAAGTGGGTCACTTTTTCCTCATGCTCACTCTCCCCCATCTTCGACTTTTAAACGTCTCAAGATCTCTGGTCTGTAAGTGCATTTTGTAGAATGCCTCGTGAACAATAGCAGGGATAAAGGATCTCCTTATCTGAGGTCTCTGGTAGAACTGAAAAAAGGATGATGGACTCCATTAACCATAATAGCGAAAGAGGTCGTAGATTCTGATCCACTTTCGCCATTTATTCCCTAAGTTCATCATTTTCATCACATAATCAAGGAAACTCCAGTTCACATGGTCATGTGCTTTCTTCGTATCTAACTTGCATAAATACCTTCAAATTCTTGTGTTTTAGCTCATTGACAATCTCATTAGCAACTAAAGCCGCATCCAAGACTTATCTTCCCTCCATAAAAGCATGTTGGCGCTCTCCCATCACTCGCCTCATAACCTTAGCCATTTAAATAATAACATTTTAGAGTCCTTTGACTTATACTCCGGCAACAAGTAAGAATTAAGACAGAGATTTGGAGTAGAACAATCAGAAAGAAAGAGGAAGAGAAAGATAGAGTAGTAGTAGGGAGAGAGAGAAAGAGAAAAAAGAGAGAAAAATTTTGCAAAACCTCAAGGAATTGATTTAGATTAAAATTGATTGGGGTAATTTCATCATACCTAAGGATCAGTCTTACAATTTCTCTATTTACTCCATCAGAATTCAAACAGACTTGACACAGGATGCAGTGAAAATAGCCCTTGCAGAATGAGAATCTAAAACAAATTATGGGATGGTTAATGATTTATTGCACCTTCTGTAATATCCCTGAACCGCTGGACACATGACACCCCCTCATCTTGATGTTTGGAAACAATTAAGGGCGTGGATCCCTTTTCTTGTTGGGACTACCTTTATTTTACTTCATGCCTCTTTTTGGGTTAATGAAAATGCTTATTTATCTGGATAAAACCATCATAGCAAAAACCTGGTTGCCTAATAGAGTTTCAGTGGAAACATTCAAAAAGGGAAAGAAATATGATAAATGGCCGATGAGGCAATACTATGGAACATAAATATCCAACATGAAAACTTAACATCCTCGAGAAACAATACTATAAAACAGATGAATGGTCCATGAGGCAACAATAGTTTAAAGTGCCCTGAGCTTTTTGTAATTTTGCTTTATTTCTTCTATTTTGGAACTGATATCCTGTCCTTGAATAGGGAAGGTTCTAAGTTGAGTTTATATAAAGCCAAGTCACCATGACTTGGTCTTTGAGTGAATACATTTCATAATCTACTTATAATGAGCCTAACATAAAGGTACAAATCATTATGACTTTAGATATAGGACATACTGCTGCACATTTGATCTAATTATTGTTATCAACCTTTTCTCGTTCAGGTGCTGCCTTCAGCTGCAATAAGCTACTTTGTATACGAGTTTATGAAGATTGTTCTCAGAGTGGAATGAACGGAGGCAAAAATTATCTGAAAGGATAACTCTTGGGATTTTGTTGATAAGAACAGGATGTAACATCTAGCATTGTAAAACCAAGAGAAAAAAATATATATCAAAAGCATTTTCAGCATCTAACATTCTTTGAGTTGCCATCCTAACCGAGTCTTGTGGTTTAGAAACTTCAGGATTTCGTTAGATTCCCTTCATCGGATGCCATTTACTTTCCATAAGTAACCAAAATTTAGGCTATCCATGGCGAGGGGTTGACAGTGAAGACTGGTAATGGGCTTTGATGCACTTTAAGGTAATAAATTACATTATATATTCATAAGTTTATGATGTATTTTAAGTAAAGAATTTATGGGCAAATAGTTTTTTTTTTTTTTTTTTTGGAATTTATTCAAAATAAGTAAATTATAGTATGTACTTGTTCTAACTATAATTAATAAATAAAATAATTAAATTGCACTGGAAAATTTTGATTAGTGAACGAAACTAATAAATAATCTAATGAATTTATGGCGATTCCAACCAGTTTTGTTTAACAGCATTCAATTGGACATTTATTTCTCTAGCATTGTGTCTAAAGTTGGAGATCTTTCTCTTGCCATTGATTCTAGTAAATTGCCGCCTTATCTAGCTGTCTTGGGATAAAGAGTTGGGACCACATAGGTAACCATTTCAAGATTATTTTCCATAAACCAAACCATGTTATTTATTCACCCAAGAAACCTCTAAATGAGAAGCCTCTATTACCATTCGTTATTCACTTTGGACTTTATTATTAATATTTAAATATGTATGATATTGATATTATTGTTATCTTGTATATATATATACATTCACACACACATACACTAAAGAAAACTCATATTCAATTATAAAGCGGAATAGAAAATTTTTATTTTTAACAACAATATAGTAATTTAGTAATTAAAATGTTTTTATATATTATGATCTGACTGTAATTAATGTATAATATTTTATTTAGTAAATTTAAATATTTAATTTATGATGTTATTTATTCACTAAAAAAATCTCTAAACGAGAAACTTTTATTATTATTTATAATTGACTTTGGGCTTTGTTATTAATATTTAAATATATATGATATTGATATTATTGGTATCTTGTATGTATATATACGCACACACACTAAAGAAGGCTCAAATTCAATTATAAAACGGAATATAAAATTTTCATTTTTACCAACACTATGTTAGTTTAGTGACTAAAATATTTTTGTATATTATAGACTGATTATAATTAATGTATAATATTAAATTGAATATTTTAATTTACAATATGTTAGTAAAATTATAATGACTAAATTGAATTTAATTTAGTGAGTTTATTATATTTTTTAAGCAAAAATAATAATTTAAGATAATTATTTTTTTAATTAAAATAATTATAATATATTAAAATATAATATAATTTTTTTATATTAAAAATATAAAAACTAAACGATTTAGTTTCGATATAAAAATTAAAATAACAAAACAAATTAAAAATATTCATATTAATTTATTTTCAAAACTTTATTATGTTATAATTAAACCAAACATTAAAAGGAATAATGTTAATCATATCATATCATATGTATTAATTAAGTGAATTGCACTGAATAGAGTTGTTTAGTTGGTGAAAGAACTGTACTTTTCATAATTTGTTTGATTTATTTAAATATTATTTGAGAATAAAATACTAAATGGGGTAAATGAATATGACCCATATATACATATATGTGTGTGTGTGTGTTTATAGAATAGCTCAATAAATTTTGGTGCATGAACCTTGTTTAAGCTATTTTTTTTGAATAAATATAAACGTATTGAAAACTTCATCTCTGAATTCACACATATTTTAAGTGGTGAAAGTTAAAATTGTTTTAGAATTTTTACAGAAGATTGAATAAATGTGGAAATAAACAATGCGTCTCGAATTTTTTAATTTCAAACTTTAGTTCTAAGTAAAATTCTACATTAATATATATTGTTATTATTTTAACTATTTTCTAATTAAATTAAACATTGAGTTGCAAGAGATAAGGTGACAAATTTTTCACTTACCGAAGATGTTAGATGTACCAATCTAAGCCTTTTAAGTAAGGCGAACAGAAATTAATTATTAAAAACAAATTAGAAAACCGACCAAAACTCACAGGTGTAAGTCCATCACTTGATTCTGGAGAAAACGTATCATTCTTTCCTATTTCGCTTTTGAAAACGATTCCCACCAAGTTTCCTGGCCCCGAATCGACATCCGCCCCTCCTTCCTGCCAAGCTTGATTCCAAGGGGACGGCAAACCCTAAGCAACACACGTCGCGGCCGCAACTATGTCGCCGTCCTGCGACGGAACCTCCAGTGACGGCGACTGCTGCTCGCGCCTCTCCTGCGAAAATGACGGATTTAACGACAATAAGATCGGCAAACCAGTTGATTGCACCTGCATGCAATGCAAGAGATCGGATCCCTCCTTCTTGTCGTCTTCGAATTGCTCGTCTTCTCCTTCTTCCTTTGAGTTCAATTCCGAACCGTTCAGGGATTCCGAGAAGCTGCGGAGGATCATTTTCGCTTCAGTGAAGGGATTCTCAATTGGAGCTGGCCTCAAAGGTGGCTTAGCTCTCTTCTCGATTTTGGCTCGTTTAAGACGTGGTAGATTATCAACTTCCTCGAGGTAAATATTTTTCTCAATATTATGTCCTTCAATGTTTGATTTTAACAGTGCGGTACGCAATATATATTTTTTTGGTGAATACAATACTTATATATTTGGTATAGGAAAGTTGAGCAAATCTCGAACAGTGAAGCAATTGCTTTGGCGATCAAGGAGACGGTTAGATATGGCCTATTTTTGGGAACTTTTGCTGGTACTTTTGCCTCCGTTGATGAGATTATAGCTGCTTTGGCAGGTCACCGAAGGCATGCTCTACACCCTTCATTTCTCTTGTTTATACTATTAAATGCAGTTCACTGTTTCATTTCCCAAGTTAAACGTTTAAATGGAATTATGTTTGATGAAGCGCGGTCTAATTGTAAATCAGAACTGCCAAATGGAGGGCTTTATTTGCGGGCTTGATTGCGGGGCCTTCGATGCTTCTCACGGGGCCGAACACACAGCACAGAAGCTTGGCCATATACATATTCATGCGCGCCGCTGTGTTGGCGGCACGCTGTGGGATCAAGAGCAAGCGGTTTGGGCGGGTTTGTAAGCCACTCACTTGGAAGCACGGTGACATATTCCTTATGTGTCTCTCCTCCTCGCAGATTTTGTATATTCTCTGTTCACCCAAAGAATTTTTCAGTTTATTAAATTTCATTTCTTCTGGAATTTTTTTCTTTAAAATTGGTCACTGTTTAATTTTTTTGCTGCGAAATTTTGGCAATTGCATGCCAAACTTGTCCTTCAAGTCTTTGGAAGCAATCACGAAGCCAAGCTGGTAAAGCTGGTAAATGAAATATTAGCGTCCTGTTGCATTGAAAAAGTGGGGAATGCATTTGGTCGGTCTCTATAGTTAAACTAGAGAAAGTATTTGCTCAATGACACGCGCCATGAGTAAATAGTAGAGCAAGCTGCAATAGAACAAATGGAATATGTATTTTGATCTATATTCAAGAGACGGTGTATTATTTTCTAAAGTAGAAATTTCTGTTTTCGCAGGTCTGCTTACATTTTGAAGCAAGAAAGTCTGCCACCATCATACAAGTCTTTCCTCAATAAACATGGTGGGAAAGATGCCGCTATTCTGCAGGGTGTAAAAGAAATTGCAACAGGCATGTCGTTCACTAATTTGGGGGCAATAGAGAAGTACTACATGTCTACTGGCGTTAATGTTAAACTGGATCCACAAATGAAAATTCCGTGTTTGGTATGATTTCTTTCTTTGTGTATTATTCTACAAGATGACATCAATTTGCATCAGTGAATCTTTACAGCGAAGAAGTGCACACATTTTGCCCCTTGTAAAAAAATATTAGTTGCTTTTGTTTTTTTTTTGTTTTTTTCCTTTTCTGGGAGAAAAGATATTGATTGCTCTTTGTGATAGGTTTCCTATTTATCTGCTTTCACAACTGGTTTAAAATGTTTGAAGTGAGAAATCAGTTGCACATACTGCGTCAACAAATAGGATGTTCTTTGTGTAACTTCTGATTGGTCCTCTGGGGCTAAATGCTTCAAATTTATACAAAGTTTCCACAAGTGCTGCTATTCTGCTTCGGCTGGATGATTGTTTTCAATGCTCTTGAATAGATTGTTTAAGTTGCAGTTTTCTCCGTAATCAGAGTATATGCAGTTTGGGCCCCGAACTACTTTGCTAGAGTCAATAGTTCTTGGAACTTCTGTGGAAGTATCCTATTACTTTCGCGAAGTATGCTTAAATTTTACAACTTCTTACAGATGGTACACGGGAATCAATCATGTGGTGCTCATGTTGTTTCTTTTCTTATTCAAGCCTATAAAAGAGCATTACCAGTATACCTTCCAGTATATTTAATTCCTGCACTGATAGTTCATCGTCAAGACCTCCTAAAAAGGTAAATATATAGCTATATTACTTTCTTGTTTCAGTTCAGTTTCAGTGCTTGATACAAAATGGTAAATCTTCTGTCTGCTGGGATTGAAATTGCTAGCATAAGTTTCAGCCAGTATCTTACGTTGTGCATTTCAAGTTTTCGCGATCTAATTTGAGCCTTTAGTCTTACATGGTTCAATTAGTGAATAGTTAATGGTTAATGTGGCACTGAAGCCTATATGGTTGGATAAGTATAATATTCATTTTGTTGTCCAGACAAACTTTATTTTGCAAATATTGGAGAGAACATAAGTTTATGATGTCTTCATAATCGGGTGTAGTTCCTCATAGTTTTGAGCATTTCTGTAAGTATGTCTCCTCATTATAATCCTTTTAAAGCTTCCATTCTCAGTTAAGCTGAGTTCCTCAAGTTTCAGAAATTGTTTACATATCTCGATCTTCTTCCATATAAGACTTTCCTGTTGACCCCTAATTCTGTGAAGCTTTTAAATATTACTGAGATCAGGAATCTGCAAATTAATCTCATACTCTTTTGAACGAATCCTGCAGGCCCTACACAATTTTAGGGAAGGGTCTTCTTGGTACGGCGAGATCAAGCTTATTTCTATCTGTATATTGCTCATCGGCCTGGTCAGTGTTCATATTCTACTATCCCACGCTTTGTTTTGCTATCATTCATCTTGCTGCTTTTGAAAGTCAGGTTACTTTAGAATCCTCTTGTTCTTGGTTGCTTTTATTATTACTATCATTTTCTTTCCTTTCAAATGGATGTATCCTAGGTTCTATTTATGATATTGCAAGAATGGTAGCTGTTATTCTATGTTCCTAAATGTTTAGACAAGAATTGACTTTAGTACTTGTGACAGATATAACAATGTAACATTTTTTCATGCCTTTCTCCCTAGTTTTAGTTTTAGTTTTGAACGGAAGCTGCTAATGCTGCTCATATAGGTTATGCTGATTTTCTCATTTGCTCGATTAGTTAGTGTGTCAATCTTCTGCATCCTGTCCTGTGGTTAAGGTCTCCAGCACTTTTGCCACAGACCTTTGTTACTTATGTTGCTTTTTTTGTTTCATTAATCAGGATGTGGACATGCCTGCTATTCAGGATTTTTAAGAGATGTAATATACCAATGGTGGCAATGGGGACGGTATGTAACATTCTCAATTTACCATTTGAACTGTGAACAGTGTTTTTGTTTGGTTTTTAGAAAGTGATGTGCTCTTGTGCAGTTTCCAACTGGCCTGGCTTTGGGTATCGAAAAGAAAAGCAGGCGAATTGAGATATCACTCTACTGCCTTGCACGGGCTATAGAGAGCTTCTTTATGTGCATGGCCGATATTGGATGTTTGCCACCATCAACGAAATTGAAGCGGGCCGATGTGGTTATTTTCAGCATATCAACGGCTATCATTATGCACTGTTACGCACAGGAGAGGGAGGTATTTCGATCCAAGTACTTAAATGTTCTTGACTGGGTGTTTGGTGTGCCTTCCCCATGTGAAACACCTCGGTGCAGAAGTACTTAGCACGTGCAGAAGTATTTTTGGGTCCAATACACCGTTTCCAGGGTGGTCTGTCATTCTTTCCTGAATGACCAAAAAGAACGTGTATGTTTTTGTACTTTGTAGTTTTAAGTCACAACCGATAAATTAATTTTGATGTCTAACCAAAAGAAATAACAGTTAATACAAGTTAAACCAGTGCCTTCCTTTTACGATAAGGATGCACTCCCAAAATTAGTACTGAGGCTTTTACAGGTCTAAAGAAGTATTTAAATTTATTAATTTCCTTCATCTTTGTTCTCTAAAATGTGCTTTCAATAGTTCCTCAAAAGAAGAGCAAAAAGCTCAGTACTGAATATTGGCACTGCTTTTGAATTTTCAGATGAGTTATTTGTGAATAGCCTTGTTTTTTTTTTTTAACCAACGGCGGGTACATAATAAGCCTGGACTCAACAACCAAGAAATGCTGATAACACCCAGTTGCTTTTTGGTTCATCAGCAAAGAGGCTTTTCCTTCTCTACTGCTATTAGTTATAGGCTTATAGCAATTCATTACTGAAATGGCTTGAATTTTGATCAGACATGCATAAAGCATATGTTGCATGGAAAACCACGGAGGGGATGAACAAATGATCATATATGACGACTAGAGTAATGATATCCAGTTTGCAATTTTAGGTGTTCCGCTGGAAGACAAACTGTAATTCGAATCCCGTGTCTCGAGGCCTCTTATTATTCTACATAAGAAGCAGATGAAGCCTATCCGGAATCATGTCTCCCCATCACAGAAATCTTTCCATTCCTTGTTTCAAACAGCAGAAAAAGCAAGAAACAAGGAACATATTCCGCCGATAAGGCTCGTACAGTCTCATTGCTGGTGGAGGAGACTGACAATGTACCTTTCATATGTAGAAGCCATGATCTCTGGTGCCCAGCTTGTAATAGACCAAAACTACATGAAGCTTATATAGTTACATTGCTAGTAAACCTTCTGGAACTGCTGATTATTAAATAAAACCCAAACTGACCTAAAAGAAAGAAAGAAAGTTCAGCGCTATAAATTTATCAAACGAGAAGGAAAGCTACATATCCCCGATGGCAGACATCAAGAAACCATGAAAAAAGCCGGGAATACGAAGTCGAAAACAACCAACAGTATAACGTCGAATTAGTGGCAGGGAAGCATTATATATATATTCTAAACTATGCGAATTAATTATGGGGTGAAATACAAAGGGATTAAACAGTTAAAAGCTTCATACCACTCCGTAGATCGCAATGACAATGAAAGTAGAGTAGGCAAGTGAAGGACAAAATACTTCAATCGATATCCATTTATCTCATTACATCTTAACTCACGGTATCTAAATCACAACCCTAATTAACAATCTTCCTCAAACCTCGTCTTCATGAAGCAGCATATTGGGAATCCCTTTACTTACAAGAAATTTCCTTCCAGTTTCCGGACAAACTAGAGCACCCTCCTCCAGGTGAAGCTCCAGAAGCGCATGATGAAGCTTCCTCAAGAATTCGTATGATTTGAGCGCCAAAGACTCGGGCGCCTCATCGGGAAGCTCCCGATAACCCATAGTTCGCGCGGCCCCAACAAGCGCCTTCCAATCGATTTTGGAGAACATGTTCCTAAGAAAATCGGCGTTGAAATCAACTTCCTTCTCCACAACTTGCTCCACTTCGATATGGAGAGGAAACCCGCAGGTCACTCCCTTGATGTTGGAAGATAGCATATTATGAGTAAGTAACCTCATATCTCCCCCACAAACACTATCTCTGTGGCTCCCTCTGCTTCTTTCGCTTTCCCTACTACCGGAACAGAACAATGGCGGCAGCAACCAAGAAGAAGAAGACTGCTGGGTAAATTTCTAAGGGGGGGTTTAACATACAATTGCGCGAAGGACGATAATGCCCTTGTTTCGTCCCGTGGCTAAGCTTGTATAATTAATTAGCCCAAAGAAACGTTTCGTAGTGAGTGGGTAGTTTATGATGGGCCGAGTCTAAAACGTGAGGCTGTAGTTGAAAACAGTGGGAGGTCCACCCAATTTGAATCATTGAGAGATTTTGATGAATTTCTGAGTGTAAGAAATTAATAGCTGATAATGAATTTTACCTACAAATATACAGACGAGGAAATGGAACGTGAATTCTAGGAAAAAAAAAAAAAAAAAAAAGGAAAGAAAAAATTGTGTTTCTTCTTCCTTTTAATTTTGAAAATCAAATTATTTGAATTAATTTTTTTAATTCAAATTCTGCCAGGTTAAGCTTTGCTTGAAGATCAATTTTAACTGTTCCAAATTTTGAATTTGAGAAAGATTCCAATAGAAGATCAAACTTGAGTTAGCTCAAACTGGAATCAACTAAGCTATATAAAATCAAACTCAATAAACTTATAAACAACTAATATAACATCCTATTTGTCTGATCTTATTTAAAATTTTCACGAGTATAATTATATAATAATCAAACTATAATCATTACTGAGACAATAGGTTTGATTTCCTAATTAATGAACCAACATATTTGCAAGTTCTTGAACTAAAATAACTTAAAAACTCAGATCTCAAATTTGAATATGCTTTAAGTTTTAATGAACTAGTCCAAACTGAATATAAATCATTCATCCATATTAGTCTAGATCAATCTTTCAACATAATTTAAATATATTTTTCAAATAAATCAAATATCAAACCAATTTTGCTCATAAGCATTACAGAGTCAAAGTATTTACACAAATTAACAGGGTTTTTGTTCCAGAAAGAATGGACAGCATACTTATTCTCCAAAGAGAAAACAAATGAGAAAGAGTAGCATGTTTTATAGTTTTTTTAAATGTAAATATGCAGTATCCTCTCACTATCTCTGGATCAGTACAGTGGAAGAATGGCAACAAGCCGGAGAGAACTTGAGCGGGAGAAATTGCTGACAGTAAACATGAATTTAAACAAATCATCCATCAAGAAGAAATAAATACAATCAAGAAAATGTACATTTTACAAATTGCTTCGGAAATCATTGCCACTTCACTTGGTTTTGTAAGCTTTTTTAGCTTGATATGAACATCCACCACTTGTATAGAGCAAACCCATATACTGTGCTGTATAAGATCAGCCTCAAGGGGTAGATTCTATACCTGCACTTTAGGATTAACTAATCATTCTTTTTTTCAATTTAGCACTTTAATTCCAGAATCTAGTTGCACAAAGAAATTTGGGCAATAGTTACAAAAAGCTATCCTAAACAAGCTTCATGCACACTCTTTCAATTTTAAATGGATTTTGAAGCAAATGATGAGTCTTAAGAAAGCTACTTCCGGCTTTTGAAAAGCACTATGGTAAAAGATTAGAGCCCATCCAGCTTATAAGTTTTTCATTGATTGCTCAAGATCTTACCAAGATTCACTCCTTACAAATGTTATATGCTCAAAGGCTATCCACAGCTTATAGGGTTTTCATTAACTGCTAAAGACTACACCAAAATTCCCTCTTTGGAATGATATGGGCTTCGTTTTTTTGGTCAAAATTCAAGGCAAATTAGTACCTACCTTATTCGCAAACACCTCAAAAGCAATTACTAGCATGAGCTCAATTTAAGTTAGATAACCCTCTCAATCACTTCCACCACCAGCTTAAATGACTGGCTAGGGAAAGAGACATGAACAAATGAGTGAAAGAAGCCCCAGTCTTTTTCTGACTCTAATAAGCTAAAATTTGATAAGATAAACAAACATATAACAAAAGTAGCAAAAAATTAATTAAATACTATAATTAATCTCTGGTTCAGTTTTTCCCATTCTTGTGAGCAATCATAGAAAAGAATCCAATATCCTCTAAGCTTGAAAAAGTATAGCTTCTCATCTCTCTCATCAACTAAACCTAACAACTAAAAGGCAAAGGAGAATTTTCACTCTCTTTTCCAACCTTTTCCTACCAACCAAAGTTGAAGGCATAGGAAAAATAACAATAGCAATCAAAATAAAATGAAGTCATCATAGTTGGAAATAGAAGGAAATTAACCCCAAAATTGAAAACAAAACAAAAACAGAGCACAACTTACCTTCTTAGTCCAGATCTTTGAGCAAGAGCAGCTTCTCTTTCGTCGGCAGTGACAGGGGAGCACCACCTAGAGAAATCCCGATCAAAGAAATCCCAGTCCGGCAAAAGCACCCCACCAATCCCAAGCATACCCACCACGTAAGTAACCATCATCTTCTTCAACGACTGCGTCCATATCCCAACAACCACAATCACCGCCGCCAACCACACCATCGATAATCGCAGAGCGGTATCGCTCGCCATTGCAGACAAGACCAGAATTAGGAGTGTTAAACAAAAGCCTCCGAGAAGGTAATAAACTCAACGGGTAATTGAAATTCCGTCGCTAAAACTGTTATTAAGCAGCAGAAAAAAGAGGGTAAAGAGGGTAGAAAGCAAATGATGAGGATGATGGGGGAAAGAGAGATTTTGGTGGCCATGGAAAATAGAGCCAATTTCTTGGGTATTCTTCTATTTTCTCTCTTTGTTGGAAACGTGATGTAGCGAATTGCTTTAAATGCTGCTCCTCAACGGTTTCTTAGCTTCTTTAAATGTTCGGCTGCCATTATTATTGCCAAAGAATTGGCCATTAACGACTTCAAAGTTACTTTTTAAATAATAAAAACATAATCACTCTCAACTTCTGCTACCTACTGGGCAACTGATCGCCATCATCCTTGGGGTGACGTTGTTGAATATTGATGTTGTCCGCCACTGTAAAAAGCCCAAAATGAAGGCACATGGATTTAGCTCTAGCTCGTTTCTTTGAAAGAACAATTGGGCCAAGGTCGCAAATTCATCTCCTGGTTCTCGAATCGGTCTTCTAGTTTTAACCTGATCCATATTTTTTGTTACTTTCTGGGCCTCTTGCACGCCCAAGAGCCCACCAAGTTGAGAGATGAAAAATTAATATTTTTACTTGGTTCATTAAAAATACATATTTTTTATTTTTTAAATTTATTAATATGTACTTTATATACAGAATTATATAATTTAATTAACAAGAAAAAAAATGCAAATAAAAATAATAATGGAGTTCAAAAATTTAATTTTAATATTATCTTGTTATGCTTTAAATTATTTTAAAATACGTACCTCCTACATACTAAAATGAACAAACCTATACATACATAATTAAAAAACAGATGCACGAATCTAAAAAAAATTAAAAATATCTCAATTTAATTTGTTCTCTCAAGTATTACACATAATTATACATATTTTGGTGCATAATAAACACACGAATGTAAAGAAATAATGATAATAATTGCAAAGCTTCATTATCATCGAGATATATATAAATTCAGTCAATCCAAAAATTTTCTACTGACAGAAAATGAAAGCAACCTAAATTTAAAAGTTTTATTATTTTAATTTCAAAATTGATATTAATTTCTTTGTCATATTAATTAAAATTAATATTTTCCCAAATAATTAATAATATATATAACATATTTAACTCCATAAGCACATTTTTTTTTTTATTAGATACACATTTCATTAATAGAATATATGTATAGATTAGAACTAAAATTTAAAAATAAATTAAACCCAAAAAAAGTAACCCTTAATCTAACGCATGTAACTTCATTGTGGAGTGATATATAGTTGAACCAAATGTATGTATAGGTAGAATATGGCAGATATATTAGTTAAAATAAGTAACTAGAGAGGGCGGAGTAAAGTCAAGTAGGTAATTTCTTGTGATGTCTTCAATTTGTGGTTAGTCACCAATTAGGTTACCAGTGAAGAACTTAAAGACACAAATATTAAGCTAACTTGTCTGGAAATGTCTTTATATGGTATTTCATTTTCTGGTTTATTCACACAATTAAGCTTCAATTACAAGCCAACTCCTCATTAATCACTTTCTTGTACGTACAGTAACGCCACATTTCAATTTTATATCTGCAATTAATTTAATTTTCTAATTAAACCACAGTTAATTACTTTATTGTTATAATAATAACAGTTGAATTCAAAAGGAGGTGAGATTAGGAAGATTTTCTTCACATACATAAATCTATATATATATATATATATTAGAGAGAGAAAGAGAGAGAAGATCTTTTGTGTGAGATTCGTGCATGGAAACCGAGAGACATATGGATACGTGTGGCTGCTGAGGCCAATTAAATATATGCAACGATTGTGAGTTCAATTTATAATTAATCAGATTTTGGTTAGAAACCCACCAGAGCAAGTAAATCAGTTGTTTAGCTGACACTTGAAAACAAACTAAGAATATATATATATATATATATATATATTCAATCTATTACATCACATATATAAAGTTGATATCTAAATTAATTAAAAGTTTGATCTTTCTTACATCACTGCTTTATTAATTCGAATCCTCGAATGGTCCACCCGGACAAGGAACCTTCGTTGAAGGTATAATCATATCCTTTAATTTATAATTATTAATTAACCAAACTCAAGCTATACGTACGCAAATATATTGTTTGTGATTGCTAGAAAAGAGAAAAAAAAAATTAACTTGTAATTTAAAATGATATTTTAATTTCATCTATTACTTTATGTACCTCCTCAAACAATCACATAATGCATGTAATAAATATATATACAGACGCACATATACGTACTCTTGGTTAAATTATACATATCATATACGTATACGCGTGTGAGTATCTATAACATTGAAAAGTATATACGAACATGGAAATTTCGAGTCTGATTCCTAGTCCGAGTTAGTGTAGATTTTCCCTGGAGGCCTTGCATGAAAACAAAAATGACAAAAGGTATTCCTCTTTCTTGCCTGCATGGGATATGTTCCTTTGACCAATCAGAACCTGCCATGTATACCCAAGTCAAATTTTGCTAAAAAAAATCTAACAAGACAGTCCAAATAAAAAGTTCATCACTTGTTAAATTATTACCAATAAGTACATCCTATATTGAAAATTCAATATCTTGTTTATAATCAGATATAAACGTTAATTTTTTCCATGGCTTAATTGGCAGAAATAATTACACACACACATATATATATATATATATATATGGGAGGAATATACCACCATTTTGTATTTTTTTCAAAATTTCTACAAAGTCTTAACGTAGTTGTCTTTCATTTTAGTTAAATGGCTGTCAGGAAACTCAACGATTAATAATTGAACCTAATCTAAAAGGACAAGCACAGTTATATAGTCAAATATATATAAATATATAGTTTAATCTTGGGCCTAGGAAAATCTATATTGATGTCGGTTAGTGGGCAAGGAGCATACATATTTCAGGGAAAGGAGAGGATAAATACATATCATATTATGTATGCATATATAAAGAGCAAAGGCTACATTGTTCTTGGTGGGGGTTGAGAAGGAAGCAACTACCAAAGCAAATCATTAATCATATATAGTAAAGATAAGACATGGGAAGATCCCCTTGTTGTGATGAAAATGGCCTCAAGAAAGGGCCCTGGACTCCAGAGGAAGATCAAATACTTGTTGATTACATCCAGAAACATGGCCATGGAAGTTGGAGAGCCCTCCCCAAACTAGCAGGTATATTATATATATAGCATTATACCCGATTGAAAGATTCTCTCTCCACACAATGTTCTTTCCCAGCGCGTAAAACCGCCGGGATAGCTCCTCCAGCTGTTTTATTACTTTTTATGTTAAAATTTTGGCGACGACGGAACAGATCATATATAGCATTGAAAGGATTCTAATTAATATGTTTGCTACATATGTACTTATATGTATGCAGGTCTCAATAGATGTGGCAAGAGTTGCAGGCTAAGATGGACCAATTACTTGAGACCTGACATCAAGAGAGGCAAATTTTCTCAAGAAGAAGAGCAAACCATCCTCCATCTCCACTCTATCCTTGGAAACAAGTAAGTCAAATATAATTCTATACGTATATAATAAAACAGCATTGCTAATGCTCTTTTAACTGCTTAATTAATTTGGGTTTTCATTAATTAATTCTTGAGTACTTCATAGATGGTCTGCAATTGCAACGCACCTACCCGGTAGGACAGATAATGAGATAAAAAACTTCTGGAACACCCATTTGAAGAAGAAGCTGATTCAGATGGGTATTGATCCAATGACTCACCAACCAAGAACAGACCTCTTCGCTAGTTTGCCTCAGCTCATAGCTCTGGCTAGTCTGAAAGATCTAATGGACCGTTATAACCCATTAGATGAGCACGTAAGATTACAAGCTGAAGCTGCTCAGCTTGCCAAGCTTCAATACCTACAATATCTTCTTCAGCAGTCAACAGCTTCGCTAACCAGCAGTAATGACATTACAGATCAACTGGATGTTCTCGCCTTATTGAATTCAATTCCTCATACTAAAGAAGAAAATAATCCCCATCCAACACTTTTAAATTCACAAGAAATAAATAATACTCCACCAGCTGCTTCTTTTTCGCTTGGACTTGGTGGCTCTCAACCACTCCACCATCCAAGTCAATTATCTCACTTGCCAGACCCACCACCAGTCACTTTCAATTTCCAAACGTCGTCGTTGAATATAAGTGATGATTATCAGGTTTCCCAAAATTCTGACTTCACTACTTTGGTCAGCCAAGCAGCTGATCATTATAACCCACAACCTGATTGTTCATGGCTTAATCTTCCATCTCCCACTCCTCCTGTAATCCCGCCAACTTTAACCGAGACGTCATTAAGCAATGCAGGAGGAGTGGCTGAGAGCAGTTTTGGAGGTGGATCTCCGTATAACTGGCCCGAATTTGGTTCTGAGGACCCTGTTATGCATGGCATCTCATGATTGTCACATTTTCGACAACTTGATCTGGAGTTGCATGCATAATCACCATTCCATGCAATGCTGTGTGCGTACTCTGTTACTATAGGTATAATCTTTTTACAAATCGGATCATGCATGCATTCTGTTTTATGTTCATGCACCTACACTCAGACATAGTTTCAATGTATTATGTGGATATACAGGCCTTGTAGAATTACATACACACACACACACCCATATATATATATAGGAGAATGTTCTGTATCACTACGTACAGAGGCGCGGTTTTGTCACTGGACAATTGAATCATCCCGTCATTATTATTCAAGGTGCTGTGGGAGTTTTTTTTTTTGTTGAATATATGTTATTATTACATTGTTTTGCAAGTACTCTGAATTGAAAAGAAAAGTTTGTACCAGCCAGAAATCGAATTGGATGATTACTTTGAAACGGAATGCGTGATTAATTCTGTCGATGAGTAGTTAGAATTTGATTTCTTTTCTCTCAAGGGATTGACTGCTAAACCATGAAGATCAATTTTTAATCCACCCATTAAATTTTAATTTGTTAATGAATTAAGGTACGCCTTTTAATTCACAGACGAGTATATTGTCTTGTTCTATTTTAATTTCTTTTTAATGCTAATTTAAGTGTGCTTGGCAATAATTAATCTAGGTTGATTATTGGAAATGTTTTGATTAAGGTCAAGTTGGTCATGATTGTCAAAGCAAAATAGAAAAAAAAACGACATGGTTAGGTTTGTTAATTCTTCTCACTCGACGTCGTTTTTGAAAGAGAAAATTAAAGAAATTAAGAATTAAAAAACTTTTCACACCACCTAATCCTATACCGGCTCATAAATATATGTTATACATCACTCAAATCAAACGCTTCTTCTGTCATCACATTTATGTCGAACATAAGTTAGACCATGCGAGTGGGGAAGCAGATTCTATCAACTGATCAATATATATATATTTATCAGTTTGGTGGCGACTACATGGAAATTATGGATTGGCTATGAGTTGGAAACTTCAAGAAATGGTATGTTTTCTTTTATATATATATGTGTGTGTGTGTGTGTGTGGCAAGTTCAAATATCTCATGAATTAATCATGAGATATTAAGTGTACGTGTAGATATATTTGACGACTGATATTGAAATGGGAGACTCGTGAACATGAAAGTAGTTGGGTTTTAGAGATATATGCCAATCAAGCTGGTAAGAAATGCACGTAAAATTTGCCTTTCATATTTTTATGGTGACTTTCTGATCATGTGAAATTAATTAAGTGACCGTAGCTAATACGAGTTTATGGTCAAATTCTATAAATTTTTTATGCATGTCTTCTCTATTATGTCTGTGACCATATACGTCTTAGAAATTTCTTGGAGGAAGGTTTAAGTTATTCCGAAACAAATTCCAATAACTTTTATATATATATAAAGATAAATCGAGCAGTAAAAGGGCAGGAGGGCTGAAAGAAGCAAAAGCCCAAAATAATTATTATATGGGCCGCCAAATAGGTATTGGGCCCACTTGCACCTGCCAAAAATATAAAAGCAAAAATTTGACCTCCCCATTTCCCAACTGTTGTCTTTCACTGATAGATGTGTGTATATACATATACCCACTTTTTCAGAAAAGACATGTATAGTTTATTAGGGAAATTATTAATGCAAATGAATTGGGCATTTATAGTTGGTGGGTCATCAAAATCAAAAGAATACGAAGAGTTGGCTCTAAAAGCAAAATTCGCCAGAAAAGAACAATTCTGATGTGACTGGGAAATTAATGGGATGCCCATAATTACACCTTCAATTTTACAACATAAACTAATTCTTCCTTCCATTATTCTTATTGGATCAAAAAATCACAAAGAAAAAAATTACTGGTGCGATTGCCTAACTTAGTCTTGTGTGCTTTGAGCAGTCCTGTTCCCATGGTGTCTAATTTCTACGTATACATGTGTATGTATATATGGATGGGATTTAGTGGAGATGTGAGTCGAGGTGTATAATTAGAAAAATAGTATGTGGGGAAGAATAGAAATGCAAATTATGGGGTGTAGTTTGGAGGGGGACCAGCTCATGTTGACCAGGACGTTAATATTTAGGGATGGCAACAAACCTACAAAAACAAATTGAAATGGACCACACCCACATGCCATGCGCATTCCCCTATTTATATTCTTTCTTCCACTTCTCTCCGCCCCATCCCTCTCTGTTTTCCTCCTCCTCCTTCTTCTTCTTCTTCTTCTTCTTCTTCTTCTTCTACTCTCATATGCGTGCATATATACATGCATACATACACGTATCTTTCAATGATGACATTTTCAAACTTAGAATCATTAACTTTATTTTTTTAAAAAATATTATATTATTCGAGCTAATATGAATATAACTTTTTTTTTTTTTTGTTTTTATATTTAGAGATGATTTATAACATTGTCATTAATTGTATTCATATGATATTAATATGTCATAAGTGATGTATAGACGCATCATAAATCACTAATGGAAATGGAATCTGAGCTCCAGGAAAAAGAAGGCAAGGCCCACTGCGACAGAAAAGGCCGAACTGGGTAGACAACTACTCTGCATCTCCATAGCTTGCTGTCCCCTTTATCATCTGAACTCCCAACAGAATCTCCTTTTCATATAAAATTATCTTTGTACTACATCCTTATAATCATTACATACATACATTTCCATTTACTACCCGTAATAATGAAATGGGTTAAAGTTAAATTTATGCCATTAAATAGATTAATGTTGGGTCTTATATAAAAATAAATAAAACTTAATTTCACAAGCTTTTTCTTGTTATATTAAATGAATTTGAATACTATAATGAACAGTTTCTCTCAATAATCACATTTTTGAATTGAGTTATATTACTAAATTGCGTATATATGACAGAGAAATCAATCGCCTGTACATCTCAGTTTGTTTACCAATAAAATTCCAAATATGACCTTACCGTCTACCTTACTACAAGCAAGAACTTATTGATAATTATGCATTTGTAATTATCTTCTTTCGCTGTAAATGATTTGAGACAGAAAACCCCATATGCCATATCACTATTTTTTCCACCCTGTCATGGAGAGACGGCTAGAGAAGGAACTAGAGGTGTGGTTGGCGATTTGTTGTTTTGTAAAAGGATAAGCAATAGGAAAATTAAAAATCTTACAAAAACAAAAGTTGTGGCTGCAATTTGTCTATCAAATTTGCTCTGTCCCCACTCTGTTAACCAATCCTCTTCACTCACTCGCCCAAGCTCATCTCTCCCTTCCTCCTCCTTAATCGTCTTTGTGGTATATGAACCTAATTAATCCCACAAATTATGAAAACATGTTTTTGAAAAAATTCCATAAATCCGGAAATAAACAATAAATAAATACTCCAAAAAGCAAGAGTAAATGATGCTTATCGCCTAACACTCTCCACCCATACGATAATTCTCAAAAGTTGAACAGTAGTACCCCGTATGTAGGCAAAAAGCTACCAACATAGAAAAAGATAAGTTTTTAATACGTATTATCTTTGTGGGTTCTGATTTACTTACAGCAATTTCAGGTTAAGTGAGGGACGAGGGCAGGGTATATTAGGGGAGAGATAAAAAGTGGGCGTTTTTTGGTATTTGGGAGGTGAGCTCTGGAGATGTCAGGTGGTGGGTGTAGCATAGTCTGGTTCAGGAGAGATCTAAGGGTTGAAGATAACCCAGCACTCGCAGCTGGCGTGAGGGCCGGTGCCGTCGTTGCTGTGTTTGTATGGGCTCCGGAGGAAGAAGATCATTACTATCCAGGAAGGGTCTCTAGATGGTGGCTGAAGCAGAGCTTGGCTCATCTTGATTCTTCCTTGAGAAGCCTCGGTACTCATCTCATCACCAAGAGATCTACTGACAGTGTCTCTTCTCTGATTGAGGTTCTTAAAGCCACCGGTGCTACCCAGCTCTTCTTCAACCACTTGTATGGTCAGTTGCTCTATCTTCTTTCTTTATTTTGTCTCTTATACACATACATATATATAATATTTTCATGCATGGGTTTTGAGCATCATGTCGATTGACCTTGAGGATATTGTTTTTACTTCGTTGCTGTTGTCCCTTTTGGATTGTCTTTGTTTTTTAATCTAGTTCCTTTCTTTTATGTAGTGCTTGGTATTTGATGAAATATAATATTGCAAAATACTCTGAATTAATAACCGTTACTTGTTCTGCTTTTTAGAAATTGGAAATCTAAATGTTTGATCAATTGTATAGGAAAGTGGGCTTTGTATTCTACATAATCCCGGGACGTCTAGGAAGCTTATTTTGAAGTGGTTTTGCTGTTAGTGCTATGCAGAATTATGAGTGTCTGTGTTTTTTAAGCATAGGATTGAGTTGAAGAATTCTCTTTTTTCTTTAGTTGGTTCTACTGGAGGAACATATTTTAGTCTTGTTTTTCAAGGAGGTTTCTTCTTTGTGTATCTCATTCTTGTATATATCATCCCCATTACATTGGAAGACAAAGAAAGTCAGTTTGCATTTAGATTCTAATGGGAATTTGTTGTTTTACAGATCCCCTGTCTCTGGTTAGGGATCATCGGGCAAAGGAGGTGTTAACTGCACAAGGAATAACAGTTCGTTCTTTTAATGCCGATTTACTATATGAGCCATGGGATGTTACTGATGCACAAGGACGCCCATTCACAACCTTTGACGTCTTCTGGGAAAGATGCCTTAGTATGCCTTATGACCCGGATGCCCCACTTCTCCCACCTAAAAGAATTATTTCAGGTTTGTTTTTTTTCCCCCAATTTAGTTACTGTTTTTGCTACTTCCTCTTCTCTTTCTCTCTGTTTCTTGTTTTCATCGTATGGGGTACCTGGGTGGAGCTGTTCTAAGGTCTAATTGTACTTGCTTAATGGCTAGCTTCAGCCTTAAGGACAATGTATAGTTTATTGAAATGTTAACATTAGGTGGAGAACAAACTCTAAATCATGCATAAAATATGAGTTTGATTTCTATTGGAATACTCAATCTCGTCTTGAAAGATCCAACATTTAGAATTCCGGGCTCTTCCATTGTTCTTTGACAACATATGTATTTTTTGCTGCAAGTAACTTATATCTATTGATTCTGTCAATATCCAAGCTTCTTTTGAACATTGCCTCAATGTTGCAGGTGATGTATCTAGATGCGTTTCAGACACTTTGGTGTTTGAAGATGAATCAGAGAAGGGAAGTAATGCTCTTCTTGCTCGAGCATGGTCACCTGGGTGGAGCAATGCTGATAAGGCTCTAACAACATTCATTAATGGACCATTAATTGAGTACTCCAAGAATAGGAGAAAGGCTGATAGTGCCACCACCTCGTTCCTTTCTCCACACTTGCATTTTGGGGAGGTAAGTGTTAGAAAAGTATTCCATCTGATCCGCATCAAACAAGTTCAATGGGCCAATGAAGGGAATAAGGCTGGTGAAGATAGTGTTAATTTGTTTCTTAAATCAATTGGCCTTAGAGAATACTCAAGATACATGAGTTTTAACCATCCTTACAGTCATGAAAGGCCTCTTCTTGGGCACCTTAAGTTCTTCCCATGGGTTCTTGATGAAGGCTATTTTAAGGCTTGGAGACAAGGAAGAACTGGATATCCATTAGTGGATGCTGGCATGAGGGAACTGTGGGCCACTGGTTGGCTTCATGATCGTATAAGAGTAGTTGTTTCTAGCTTCTTTGTAAAAGTCCTACAGCTTCCATGGAGATGGGGAATGAAGTATTTCTGGGATACCCTCTTAGATGCAGATCTTGAGAGTGATGCTCTTGGTTGGCAGTATATATCTGGTACTCTCCCTGATGGCCGTGAATTTGATCGCATAGATAATCCACAGGTTTGGCCAATGATAATTATTTCAATGCAGTTTGGTTCTGTTACTCAATGGTTCGGACATGCCTGTCAAGTATGCCTGCAGATTCTCTAATTAATTTGATAAAAAACGAATTTTAGGTGTAGATTTTGTTCATTGTTAGTCCGGCAATCTTGCTTGACCTCTTTGCTATCTGAAGATTAAAGGCACAACCTTCTAAATCGAACACATTTTCTTCTGTAAATAATTGATTAATGCTCATGAATTTACCCCCAAGCCAATTCGTCTTCCTACTCTGGGACAATATCCTTGGCTGCCTTAGGTTAAACCACAACTTCTGAACTTGTGTTGTGCACTACTAAGCATACCCTTAATTGCCTTATTCACATTTTCTTCTCTTTATTAGTTTGTTTTCTCCATGCAAAGGAAAAACTGAAAAAAAAAAAGAAAATATTCAACTGAAATTGTGATTTTTCTTAATTTACTGAATCTATTGTATCAGACTCAAGATTTCGTGTAGAGTACAGATTGAAAATTGTTCTCATTCAGTTATTGATCTCATACAGTTTGAAGGTTACAAGTTTGATCCTGATGGAGAATATGTAAGGCGGTGGCTCCCTGAACTTGCCAGACTTCCAACTGAATGGATACACCACCCATGGAATGCGCCAGAATCCGTACTTCAGGCTGCTGGAATTGAGTTGGGATCAAATTATCCCCTCCCAATTGTTGGGATAGATGCAGCAAAAGGTAGGTTGCAAGAAGCACTTTCAGAAATGTGGCAGCATGAAGCAGCTTCAAGAGCTGCAATTGAGAATGGAACTGAGGAAGGGCTTGGAGACTCTTCTGAATCAACACCAATTGCGTTCCCTCAGGACATACAGATGGAGGAAAACCATGAACCTGTGAGGAACAACCAGCTTCCTGCTGCAATTCGACGTTATGAGGATCAGATGGTTCCCAGCATTACTTCTTCTTTGTTGAGAGTAGAAGAGGAAGAATCTTCTTTGGATCTTCAAAATTCAGTGGCAGATAGCAGGGCAGAAGTTCCACGGAATGTAAACATGATTGTAAGTGATCAAAATGAAGACCTAAGGAGGGATGCACTAAATCAAGAAATTCCTCAGACAAATCGTAACAACAATTCTTTGCCACAATTTAATATCCAGTTTGGGATTGTAAATCCTGAAGATTCAACAGCAGAATCTTCTAGTAGTAGTAGTAGAAGAGAGAGGGATGGGGGTGTGGTCCCAGTTTGGTCTCCTCCAGCTTCCAGTTACTCGGAGCAGTTTGTAGGTGAGGAAAATGGGATTGGGACGAGTTCTTCATACTTGCAAAGGCATCCGCAGTCTCACCAAATAATGAACTGGAGAAGGCTTTCGCAAACTGGGTAAGAACTCATGGAGACCATGAAACAAAAACAGTTCTTTTTCTAGTTCACCTTGGATTGGTGTTCTGAAGTTGTGGATCTATTTATATAACATGCCTCCGTGTAAAGTTGTATATAAGCCAAGAATTCTCATATGGAATTGAACAGCTGTCTTTTTTCTATATGCCCTACTGCTTTCTTTTATAAGTGATCAGCAAGTTTGATATGATAGTTTACTGAAAGTAAGATAGCTTTTTTTTGTTCTACTGAGTAAAGCGTGCTGCTTTCATTTCTGAGGTATGAATTAGTCTTTGTCATTTTAAACTTGAGACTTATATAATCTTTTGTTAACAGGTGACAAAAGACAAATGTGGAGACTGAACATTTTACCAGTCATGTTATGACAGATGAAGAGACAGGAGACGGGGAGTGCATCGATGGTTGATCCTTAGACCAGAGGGATTATGAATTGTTGCTCTCTCTCTCTCTCTATATATATATATATATTGTCTAAAATCTTCTCCCTTCACTGGTCTAACATGATCAGCAGTTGACTTCCTATCAAACTAAGGTTACGTATGAAAAATGGAAACTGGTAGAGGCAGCTGATCGGCTCTCTTTTTCTCTTGTTTCCCTTTTTTGTATCATATGCATAGATTTGGTGTATAGGATTCCATTGTTCTGATAAGGAGGTGAGATGAAGGCTTATGCCAAGGAAATGATTGTGCTTTTCTGTAGTCTGCTAATAAACCCTGGATTGTACTTATTAAATTAACTAATTAGGCAGATATTTTACTGTAGATATCATACTTCTCCATGTTTCTTTACTGATTTTACAATTTGAATTTTGATACAAATTTTCCTAATCAGAATCTTGGGGCCAACTCCATCGCAAATTTCTTAGACTGCATAGTTGATATTTCCATCCGACTGACTATGTGTTTACATGTATATATGTCATAAGTATATATATATATATATATATATATATTTTTCACCCAAAAAAAAATATTTATAATAATTGTAAATGGGTTTTAAAATTTAACTTTATCAAAATAGGTTATAAAATTAATATTTTGTGAATATGATAATTTCATTTTAAATCTCTACAATTTAACCATGAACGTGTTTTCATCTTTCTTTAATGGCTGAAGCTCCCATGTCATTGTCTCAGGTTCTTTTCTTATGGGTTCAAATCAAGGTATATCATTGTAACTTGCTGACGTGTATATATATATACATATATAAGTTTATATGAATAAATAAATTGTTATATATTTCTTATAGCACGTCTCTGTCACCTAAACTTCTAATCAATGGAAGAATCACCTTTCAAGTCTTTGACCTTGGATATGTCATCATATATTTATTTTATTTTGTTAATATATTTATAATTTTATTACATATTTTTGGCACTGTGACTCTAATAATGTATAAATAATTTTTTATCTGTTGTAACTTTTTATACATTCTCATATATATATATATATATAGATTTAATTTCTTTTCTTTTTTTTTCCCTGATGTTACAACCAAATTGATAAACTTTTTTTTACGTAAGGTGTGTATAAAGCACTTATTTTGAGCTTTACTTTATCTCAAAGTATCCATTGCCTCTACACATTTAATTTCTCTTTTATATTTTTTATACATTCATATGTTATTATTAAAATATTGTATTACATGTGTTATTCTAAAAATATTATTTTAATATTATAGATATTACTTAATTAATAAAATTTATCAATTTAAAAAACTTCATTTTCACACTCCAATTACCACTTATAAATAAAATCACTACATACTACAGCCAAAATTGATATATATATATATATATTGTTTTTTTTTATAATATCAATTGTATAAATTTAATTAAACTCAATTTAAAAAAAATTAATAATAAAACCCAAAAATATAAGATTTTTATGTAGAAAACTTTCTAGAAAAAAGAATTATGAGTTGAATTTCAAATCAAGTTCACTATAAAAAAAAATTAATAAATACAAACTAACAATTTTAAGTTAGTCAAAAATTTGGATTCTATAATCAAGACGAACCCAAATTATTTTCCTAGTCAAGACCTTAAAAATCTACCTTTTGTAAAGAAATTCTGAAGAAATCATTTTTAAAAATATTTTTGAATAATAAATACTCCTTAATTTCTGAAAATACCCAAAGAAAATTTAATCAAAGAAACGAAAAAAAGAACCGTAACCTTTTCTTTTAATTCTCACGCACCCAAAGAAATATATAAGATTTGTATCCCTTAACAAAATGGGAATCCCCTTGCCATTTCCCTTCATTTGAGTAATCGGTCAGGTATCAATACATTCATGCACGAGCTTACGCAAAGAATCTCAGACGACGTCTGAGCAGTCGTTTTGATATTAAATAGAATCTCAGACAACGTTTCCATCTAATCTGCCAAGATTTAACAATGGCGGTTAGATCAATCAATTTTTCCGATAACTATTTGATATTGAAACAACAAGAGGTGAGTCTGGTTGCCCTCGTTCGCATGTTATGGCGGTCGGAACTGGAGGAAATATCAGCAGTAGAGTACCCGGAAGAGAATAAGGAGGAGAATCTGAAACACCGAAGAGTTATAATCGAGTCTCTGCTGATTCAGAAGCTTATTCAATCCATTGCCAAACCCTTGGCATGGTTTGGCTCAACCTTGGAGACATGGCTCAACCTCTTGTCTTCCAATCAAAACTTGCTCATGCTCTTCCTCAATGGCTTACGAGGTCAGTAGATATATGTGTGTGTATCGTCACTTCTCATATATATCCTCCATTATTTATTGAGAAATAAAATATAAATTTGCTAAATCTCACTTCCGATCTCTTTATGACCCATAGAGCTCGGATATTTATAATATTTAGACTTATCATTAATTATAAAACGACGTTAATACTAGACTGATGAACACGATATAAACCTAATTAATAATGGCATATTGTTTGAATAATAACTAATTATTTAAAAATAAATTATTACTAAAAGATATATATATAGAATATTAGATCAACAGCTTCTTAGCTACACAGACAATACTTTCTTCATTCGTGAAATATTGTAGGTTCAAACTGATTATATGTTATTGTGTCCTCTCTTTTGGAGAAAAGAATGTATTATAATTAATATATATTTATTATTTAATTAATAAAATATATAAATTTTAATTAAAAAAATAAATAGGATATAATTCTATAATACCTTATAAATTAATTAATATCAATAAAAATATTATTATTTTAAATAATAATAACAATATTATTCCTATGTATTTTTTTCTACGTTTAAAAAAAAATTATATATATATATATATAAATATCCTTTATATCTTATAAAAATCCATGCATGTAGATGAATATGTTATTTATTTGTACTTCACTGCAATTCATTCCAAAGGATTAATTTGAGTTTATATATGTTTGTAGGTCAAGTTACTATACCAGATAAGGAATCAAAGAAGTTCTCATCATTTATTGGAAATTTAGATCCGCGTGTAAAACTAAATGAAACCATTAAATATGGAGATAATAGATATTATCCAACACTCTGCATGATGGCTTCTAAAATTTCATATGAGAATCAAGCTTTTGTCGAAACAACTATTAAAAATTACTGGAAGGTAAATAACACATTACACATATACATACACATAAAAATGCATAAACACAACACACACACATTAATTTGCATATTTTAAATCTTATATTAATTATCTAACCATTACAGATGGAGTTAATAGATATTGGAAACTTTCATTTTTGGAATGGTAAGACAAAGTAATTTTTCACCAAGATTATTTTTTGTTTAAATAATATACAAATTATGATGTAAAAATGTATATATATTTATGTATATGTGTATAAATATATGTATAGATTATCAAGAAAAAAATACAACATAAGCATTTATGTTTCGTTTGAAAACTCAAAAAGCTGACACAATAGTGATAACATTTAGAGGCACAGAGGTATTCAGTGCGGATGATTGGTGCACTGATTTTGACATCTCTTGGTACGAATTATATGGTAACATAAAGATTCATGGAGGTTTCATGAAAGCTCTTGGCTTAGTAAAAGACCAAGGTTGGCCGAAGAACATTAAACGTAACAATAACCAATTATTGGCTTATTATTCAATAAGAGACAAATTAAAGGAAATATTGGGATCAGACAGAGATGAGAAAACAAAGTTTATGTTGACTGGTCATAGTTTGGGCGGGGCACTTGCAATTTTATTCACAACAATTTTAGGGTTTCACGAAGAAAATGATTTGCTAAAGAGATTGGAAGGAGTTTACACATTTGGGCAGCCTAGGGTTGGGGATAAAGAGTTGAAGATTTTTATGGAGGAGTTGTTACACAAGTATAATTTTAAGTATTTAAGGTTTATATATTCTAATGATCTAATTCCTAAGTTGCCGGCGGATGACTCAACATTTTTGTTCAAGCATTTTGGGACTTGTCTTTACTACAACAGTTTTTACAAAGGAGAGGTAAATGAATTCCTATTAATACATGAAGTTGTATAAATTTTTATAGAGAATAATTTATAGTATAACATAGTACATAAAAATCTCCACAAAATATATGTTATAATTATTTGAATATATATATATATATACACACACGCAGATCTTGGAAGGAGAACGGAACAAGAATGAGCCTTGGCTATTGGCAACCATACCGAGGATGGTGAATGCCCTATGGGAGCTAATTAGAAGCTTCATCTTACCATACAAAAAGGGATCAGAGTATACAGAAACTTGGCTACTCAGGCTGGTTAGATTTGTAGGGCTTGCTGTCCCCTGCATGGCTGATCATAATCCCCATGATTATGTCAACTTAACTCGACTTGGATCAACCCATGTATATCAACATATATTTTGACTCCAAATTTGTACAATATATACATGTATAAATAGTGTAACATCTTTGATATGCAGATTAATGCGTGCACTGAAGTATTGTTTTGTAATTGATTTTTTTTTTTTAAATAATTTTTAAAGAAATAAACCCATAATAATTATGAGGTCTTTCAATTTGGCTATATATATATATATATATCAAATTAATTGTAGTGTGTTTGTGTGTGTCAAATCGGCGGCTGGGTCAAATGGCGGTCGTCAATACGTACAATCATAAATTACTCCCACTCTACCACAGGGGATTCTGTTCCCCTATGAATTTCTTTTTAATTGCTAATTATCAACTTCTAGACAAATGGACCTCTATGAAGCTTTTATTGGGTAGCATGCCACATCTATACCGTACAACTGGATAATCCAATGTAACTATTTATCATAAATTTATGTTTTATTTTATAAAATAATGACGACTTTATTACTAAATAAAATTATTAAAAACTAGAATATCAAAGGTAAAATTAAGGGAGTGCAAAATTTAGTCTAGCCTGAAAATTTTGATTGGACTGAAGTGCAAAATCTGGTCCAACCCCAAGAAAATTGTATCGGACCGAAGCCGGCCGGTCTGCAAGTCCTCTTAACGCACATTCCAGCCTTTCTCTTTTTTTCATCTTTGATGAAGATATCAAGGAGCAAAGAGACCCGAGAGAGAGGCTCAGTGGTTCCCCATATATATAAGTATAGATATAGGTTATTCTGTGTATAAATAAAGATAACTAAATTGCGGTGGGGATATATATACACACACACACATATATGGGGCAGTATGTGCATATATCATTTTGATATTTTATTAAGTTTTAATAAAAATTAAAAAAAATAATAGTAATAGGGCTTCGGGGGGGTTATATATAGGACAATGTGTGTGTAACTTTATATTTACTAATCTTTCATTAAGATTTAATTTCAGACAGATTGGGCCGGTCCAATCAAACCAATTTGGGTTTTGACCAATCCACAACCCTATTAAGTACTTGTGTTCTATTTTTGTTTTGGACTTTTTTTTTCTTTTTAAAAAAGGCATGACCAATTGAGTGTGCACTAAAAGTCTAAAGAACAGAAAAGGCATGAGAGAGCTGTACTAGAGCAAGTGGGGAGGAGAACCCATTAAGTTATATAAAAAACCGCAAAGTCAACAGAGAAGAAGTCTGCCCTTTTGGCAGCCTTCTCTCTCTCCCTCTTAAACGGTTACAAAATCATCCATCCTTCTCTCTCTCTCTCTCTCTCTCTCTCTCTGTTTATTTTCTTCTTTATAAAAACATTTCAGATGTTCTTCTCTCCTCTTGCTTCTCTCTCTGTATTTGTTTATGATTTCTCCATTCAATTGCTTGTGCAAACTGAAGAATCCGCTAGCCAAAATATTAAATCAACTGCAATTGGGAGCAAATACCTCAACACCATCACCCGCCACCTATAACTACACCACCGCCTACTTCGTAGACAATTTCTTCATCCCTTAATTCGATCAAGAACGATTGATAACAGGTAATTCTATACTACCCACTTCTTGTTTTCACTCGTCCTCCCACCCCGCCGCTTGTGGTTTTGAGGGGGTTTTAGGGTTGGACTTTTTGAAGGGTTCCTAGGTGTTGATCGGTTCTGTTTTTCCATGGGACAGATTTTGAATTTGAGGTGGTAGGATGATTTTGGAATTTGGATTTCAGGCGATTACAACTTGTGGGTATTGATAATATAGTTCAACAAATTTGAGTTGTTGAAGAATTTTTTGCTTCTATGGATCGGTTATGCTGCTTTAATTCTCAGGTGCAGTAATTCTTTTACTCTTTCTTGTCTTTTTGTGCCTTCTGGTGTTCTGTAGTCATTCTAACCCTTTATGATGTTCTATTTTTGTTTCCATGGTGTTGTCACTTGAAGAGTTTACTGGTTTATGAAACAGAGCAACTGTATAGTTTAGAATTATTACTGTTCTATTTTCATATTTTTTGTGGTCTTTTATGTTTGTTTTAGTAGGACTTTGTGAGCTTTGGATCAGTTTGAAATTAATTGTTTGATTATGGTGAGACTGTAGTTGGAGAATTCTTTTGTTTACCGAAAGGAGTTTGATATTTTTGAGTCTTGTTTATAGATGGGTAATTATCTTGTAATAAGGTTCCTGTGTGATTTTAATGAATGTCTTTGTTGAATTGGAGCCTGGTGTAGTATCGCTTTTTGGGAGAAAGCTGCTTCTGAGATTTATCCACTCTGCCATTGGATTACTTTCAGGACTGTGTGAAAGATTTCTTTTTGGAGGGGGGGAAGGAAGCAATTCTCTGAGGTTATAAAACCTAGAGGTTGTGCTCTGCTAGTGCTAAATAATTATGCAACAAATGAAACAAAATTGCACGGGTAATGGGGTTTATACAAGTTAATTGCATATGATATTACAATTTCCATGTCCAAAGAGTAAGAAATCGCTGGGATGTTACCATGATATTCTTGTTTTCTTCATTTAATTCTTTTTAAGGATATTCCAGTGCCACAAAATGAATATTTGGACTAATTTGGATGCTTCATTTGTTCCAGAAGCTTTTCCTGATATTGTATATAGGGGCTTATATAGAATATTACAATTTCCATGTCTTGAGAATTAGAAACCACTGACATGTTACCATGATATTCTTGTTTTCTTCATTTAGTTTTGTTTTTTTACGATGTTCCAGTTTCACACAATAAACATTTTAACTGATTTGGATGCTTCATTTGTCCAGAAGCTTTGCTGATGTTGCATATAGGGGCTTATAGTTGCAAATATTTCTTGTTTTTTTCTACATGTTTACTTTCATGTGGACAAAGGTAAGCTAAGTTTTTTTAATCTTACCTTATTAAAGAAATTTTACCTTGTAGTTTGTTGGAGGACAATCATCTTCTAGCTCTGGTAAGGGAAAAAGCCATGAGGGTGAAATCAAGTATGGTTTTTGTCTGGTAAAAGGAAAGGCTAATCATCCAATGGAGGATTATCATGTCGCGAAGTTTGTGAACGTTCATGGTCATGAGTTAGGCCTCTTTGCTATTTATGATGGTCATTTGGGAGATAGTGTACCTGCCTTCCTACAGAAGCATTTATTCTCCAATATCCTAAAAGAGGTGGGATGTATTCACGTAATGGATAATTACAGGTTTTTTTCTGGTTTGACTTTGTAGTAAATCTGGACATCCACATACTTTCCCATTTCTATCATTCGAGGACGAGTTTTGTGTTGATCCAAACAGATCCATCTTAAAAGTCTACTAGAGGACTGACCACGCAATTCTCTCAAATAGTGCTGA